ACAGTTTGAACAAGTTAATGTTTCTATTCATTCCAATGTAAAAAAAATGTAAATAGAGAGAGTTGTGGGTAGGAGATTGGTATATATATTATCATACAGACACGTTATTACTGTGCGAATACCATTATAAACAAAGAGGAAAACAGAGAAGCATAGTAAAAAATACATGTGTAAAAACCATGTAAATTTTTCTATATTCTTGTTTGGACTTGGGTGTGAAAGTGCATGGATTAAGGGAATCCAATTAAAGAGGATCCTATGCTTTGGTTAACTTAAAAGGGATGCATATTAAAAGGCTAAAAATAAACCCATTATGTTTTTATGGGGCGGACAGAATCTGCCAGTCGGTGGGCCGAGGTTTATAAAGAATACCCCTTCCTGGGCTTGTTCAAGCATCAACCAATTTCTTAATGGGGGAAATTATATATTAAATCAGACCAAATAAAATGCCAATAATAATAACATTTAATTAATAATGTTAACTGGATGTCCTGAAAGAGAATAAGAAAATGAATCATGGTGCAAATGCAACCCCATGCAGGTTGTAAAGCATGGTGCAAAGAAAAGAATATGCACAAATCAAAATGGTATAAAGACCATTTGCTAAAATTTGTGCCATCTTTTGTCTAAACTTGTACAAAGCAAAACATTTAGAGGTCGGCCGCCCCGATTCTTGTTTAAACTCTTCGTTGGTAATTATAAGAATCTCAAAAGAGTTTACATTGTAATGGTGGGGAACTAATGTTTGCTTTTGTTGATTCCAACATATACTAAAAATCATACTGCAAATTCATTACAATTATAATTGTTCTCGACGAATTTTATATTTTGAAATCGTTGCATAATAGTTTAGTCATCTATACTATTTCTCAATATATGCAACCGAAAAATCCTTTATCCACTAACTCAAGCTTTGATTCTTTTGAAAATCTTATGATAATGAAAAAACATATATGAACTAAATTTAAATTGAAATAAGTATGAATATCTTCTCAAACTTATAAATCGAAACAAAGTGGGCAATAATTTCAAAGTAATCAAATCAATAGAGAATCATACATATATATATATGGAATAAAATAAAATTAAAAATTGACCAATAGAAGGTCACAATTGCAATACGGGATAGACAAATACATACTCAGCAAGAAAAATTGTAAGGAATAGACAAATATATACTATTGGAGAGGGGGCCGAGATCAAAGCAAAGAATGGAGAGGGGGCCGAGATCAAAGCAATACAAAGTAACCTAGATTACTTTGGACCTTTAGACCAAAGCAACATGAAATTTAGCACTCAACTTTACTTGACTGCAACAGCTCATGAAATTTCAATCATTTGTACTGCAACCTTTGTATTATTAGCTTTCTTCACATAGATTATGTCTACCACTTACTAGGTTTAAGAATTGGAGCTTCCTATAAAATTCTGGCTTTTATTTGCGGGGAAGGAGTTGACTGTAGGATATTTTCTTCATAAACACAGCTACAACAGTTTGCAATGGTTGATGCTAGTACTCACTGATGAGGATGATACATATATGAATAGCATAGCTTGTGAGCATACTCCCAAGAAATTTATAGCAATCTCATTCTTCTTACTTTGATTAGGCTTGTTACCTGGTGAAATAATGTACTCTAATATATGTTTCATCGAGCGCTCTAACACAACTCTACAAGATTAAACAACTTAGAACATAATTGTTTTTCATTCAAAAATAAAAAATTATATCATATTCACACTACCTTAAACTATTTCCACTTGTCATAAGTTCAGTTCTTAGGCACTCGAAAAAAGTTATCATACACTCTTTGAATCCTTTACATAAAAAGAGTATATGATAATTTTCGGGTGAATATTTGTTTTTTCACAACACTGAATCTTTTCCATTCTCATTCTCATACATTCAGAGAACATATAATGAAAATCTTATTTGACTCTCTCTAATTCTACTTTCTTGATTGATACTGTTACGAAAAGAGAGTGAGAAAATGAAACTTGGTGCCCAAACCCATGCATGCCATAAAAAATAAAGAAAAAGCATGGTGCAAATTAAAGAATATGCACAATTGAAATGTACCTGAAAGACCATTTGCTAAAATGTGTGCCATCTTTTGTCTAACCTTGTCCTAAGCAAAGCATCTGGAGGGCGGGCCGACGCTCACTGAAGCACTTTGTTGATAATTATGGAAATCTGAAAAGAGTACTTACACAGTTACACTCAAATGGTCGGGAGGTAATTAAGGTTGCCTTTTTTCTAATGTTTTTATATATATTATTTTTAACGTTGCTTTTGTTAATTCCTAGGCAATATATTTTTGTTTGCCAATAACTATAAGTTTATGGACATTATAGTCCCCCCCCCCCCCCCTTTTTTTTTTAAATACAAAAAACAAATGACAAAGAGAATCACCAACGGATGACATTCCTCTGATCAAATAACAGTCTCATATAGTCATTATATTCAGTGGTGGACCTATTAAGGTATAAGGAGATGTAGTTGCATCTGTCTTCGTCTGAAAAGGCATCAAAGGTGCTACATATTGTACCTCTACCCAGCCATGGAGTTGCAGTATAGGTGTTCGACTAAATGCCTAAGAGAACTTGTCTTTTTGCTCGCTTTGCTTACCACTGGCTTTTAAAAATGAAAAAATAAAAAAATCATGGCAAAAATGAAGTCGTTTTGGACCAGGCTTTAAAAAAATAAAAACAAAAGGAAATTTGACATTTCGTGGGCTTTTAATAGGGCCTCCATAATTCCTTATTTAAGTGGGATTGAGAGTTCTCTTTATTTAATTGGGCTTTAATAAGGCTTACACAATTCCTTATTTAAGTGGGATTGAGAATTCTCTTTATAAAAGTCCAATTTAACATTACCCAATTTTAACAAAGTGTGCATGCATCACAAGAATCCTGCATTTTTTTTTTCTTTCTTGAGTACCCAATTCAAAGTAAGTCAAATGCATATTTTTTTTCTTCTTGAGCAGACACCAATTTTGTATATTCATTTTTTAATAATATTTTTTTTCTTTCTTATTTAGCTCTCTTTGTATTAGTAAGATCAATAGCAAACTCAAGGAGGAGGCGGTTGCGCGACGTACGATTAGAGGTATAATTAAGTTTTATTTTTTATTATTTAATTGGTAATTTGATATTGATTTGTTAAACATGGGTTGTTTTTCAATTGTCTTTTTTTTTTTTTTTTTTTTTTGTGTGGGGGGGGGGGTTTTGTGTGTGTGCGTGGAGCTTTTGGCCTTTGAAAATTGCACGTCCCCTGAAAAATTCATAGATCTGCCAATAATCACACTTGGGATATTATGAACCAAACACAAAGATTTTGTTGATGATGACTCAAATTAGCAAGAGCACCAATAACCATATTCGTTTCATGAAACACATGCCGAACATCATAAATCTGTAAATTATGACATAAAAATACTAAACAAAATACAGAAATGAACTAAAATATATCCTTATAAAGATCATTTGCTAAAATTTGTACCATCAATCTTGTCTTAACTTTGCTTAGGCCATGTAATAAAGAGCAAAGCATGGGGAGGGGGCCGATGCTTGCCCCCAACTAGAATTTATTTAGAAAAGAGATCAAAGCAACACAAAGTAACCTAAGATTTCTTTGGACCTTTAGACCAAAGCAACATAAAATTTAGCACTCAAACTTTATACTTGACTGTAACAGCTGCTCATGAAACTTCAATGATTTGCAACTTTGTATTATTAGCTTGCCTCACATCACATAGATCATGTCACCACTTAACTAGGGTTTAGGAGCACGAGCCTGGTTTTATCTTAGACAATTTGTTCATGAAGTTAATAACGTATTGTTGTAAAATTTTCAGTTTTCGTTTTCTTTAATGAGAAAAAGGGAGATTTAAACTTGGAGTATTTCTAACAAAGTAAAAAGAGAAATACCACTAAATTAATAACCAGTTAGTTAACTTTTTAACTTGGAGTATTAAGTTAAATGATGTACTGTTTAAATTCGTTGCTTTTGAATAGTCGGGACCCGGACCCCATGCTATTATTTATTTATTTTTTAAAATTTGGGGTTCCTAATTTCATTTTGTTTTTCTTTTGTTAATTTAATAACCATCCAATATTCATCTTCATAATGTAATGCATGCAAATTCTAGTTTCACTACATTATTTTGCAATTGTGAATACATTTTGAACCCTAATTAAAAACATCAAAAAGCTCACGAATAGACCCAAACAAAAAATCGACCAAAAAGAAGACCCAAACAAAAACCGAGGACCTTATTTATAGACTTGAGCCAGCAATTTTAGCCCAAGCCCGTTTTGGGCCCAACCTCAAAATTCACACTAGGTTAGTTTTCGGACGTAATCGACCCAATGATCCATTGAGCCCAAATGGCTTCGGACCAACAATTGAATTTTGACTAATTACGGTCTGGGCCGAAGATGGACCTAACCTGGCCCATTTGAAATTCCATTTACCTTTTTTTTTGGGGTTGAAGTGATGATTCATGCCAAAGCTTAATTGTTCATTGGCTGTGGAACTCACAATCCTCACCAACAGGTAAGCCAAAACAGCTCCCTGGTTGCCTTCATACTCTTCCCAGAAAACGTCAAATTTTAAAGGACACGTGGCTAACGCTGCTGGCGATGCACCACCGCTGTGGTCCCCACCCTTACGCCACGCGTTCCCCCGTCTTTGCCCTTCGGGTACGGGTCACGTGGGCCGTCTAATATTTTTAATTTGTTTATGTTTTTCTGGTAAGATTTTCTGTGATAACCTCACCCGGGTGGGCCCCAACCCATTCCATACCGTCACTTTTACAACCGGGAACCGGTTCTCACACGCTCCAGCCCTCCTCTCCTTGAGAAAACTCTAGCGTACCAAAAAACCGGTCTAACAAGTTCGCGGTTCAGTAGTGTCTACGTGTCTCAAAATAAAATTTCTAGAGCAATTAAGTGGGTCCCGAGGTGGGTGACGAAATCATAACCTTGGATGTGGAATTTAAATAGGGGAGCTCTTCTAGTACAGTTATATACTGTGAGATTATATGGAATTGCAGAGAAATTGTGAGATTCCGAGGCCAAAAATCTAGGGTTTTTATTTGTGATTGGCTTTTTCTCTCGGCAAGTAAGTCCCTCTAAGATTTTCTTTGATTTTAAAAAATTCGAATTTTGACCTTTCGTTTATAAAATTGGAATTTATTTGTGTGGTTGATTTCTAGGGTTTCAAGAATTGGGGTTTTTTGTGTGTGGAATGTATTGATTTTTTAGGGATTATGATTTGGTTCTCTCTGTCTGCGTGGTTATGGCATGGAATTGTGTTTTGGGTATCTTTCGGTTTTGTGGAATTTGACTGTTTCTCGGGTCAGAGTTTGATTGTGCTCTCAAGAGGGGGAAAGAGGAGATTTTGGTATAAATGTTTGGTAACTTTATTTTATTTTCCATCCATTGTGGTCTTGTCTGTGGCTGCATGTTTCTTATACATTAAGAGGAACTCTCATATTTTGATCACTGACTTGAATTTTTGTTTTTTTATTCTCTTGTATATAGAACTAAGAGTTGGTGTCTATCTAAGGATATTTGAGGCATGCAGTCGAAGTCTGAAACTGAAAATAGACTTCATGCTGATCATCATACCATCCCACCAAACAGTGTTTATTCAGAACCGTGGTGGCGGGGTGTTGGCTATAACCCCATCTCCCCAGCCGTTACAGGGAGGAATGCATCCAACTCATCTTCGTTAGAATGCCCAAATGGTGGTTCAGAGTCCAATGACGATCGATCATTGTCCAATGATGAGCCAAATGAAGATGATGATGATGATGCCACCAAAGAGTCACAGATTACGTCTCCAAGATCAGGTAACAATTCCTACAATATCTGGTGATTTGGTATAAATGTTTTTTCACCTCTTTGTTGGTTTCACGTTTTAATATTTTATTTCAACTTCAGCTGGCAATGATGGGCAAGAGCGCCAAAATGTGCCGCATGTTGGATCTACTGTACCTACAGTTCGTGATGATTGCCTTGCGCAACCGCCACAGCTTGAGCTTGTTGGTCACTCTATTGTAAGTTCATTTTACTTTGTTCCAAGATTTATTGCCTCCTGCATGGTGCAACTCCGTTGATAGTTCGTCAAATATTGAACAAGGTTCTGTAATTTTTAATTTAAAAGTGGGCACTTATACTTGCATGATTTTGGAATGTAAGATTCCTACCTTTCCCGCATTTGTTTTGTAGGCTTGTGCTTCAAATCCTTATCAGGATCCTTATTATGCGGGAATGATGGCATCTTATGGACATCAGCCTTTGGTATGTTAAACAGTAATATCCTTGAGTGTAATAGAATTCTACATGCAATGTTGGATTTGTATGATATTATCTTTTGTGCAGTGATGCAATGATAGAGTTTATGCAGATATCATACTTCCCTTATCCACTCTCTAAACAATAATTATATATCTATTTATATCTCTAAACAACTTCAAGGATTGTTGGTAGGAGTATTTAAATTCCCTTTATTGTTTCTTTTCAAAACAAAAATATCAACGATGTTTATCATATTTGTGATGGTAGTGAAAGGGGGATGGGTACTTGAGGTTTATCAGGACTTGTAACTTAGGTCACCTATGATCCTATCCAGTTAACATTTTGGATGGGGTAATTATTTGGTCTGATTGAGTAAATGAGGAAAGGATAATTTTTCCTTTGAAGTTGCTGCATTCTGTTATTAGTAGCTGAAATCTAAGTTTTGGTATGGTCTTTCGGGGTTTGAATTTGAAGCTTTAAGTTTAAAATATTACTGATAGGATACTAGTGGTTTTTCTTAATTTTTCTTTGTAGCTAGTATTTACTTCTTACTACTTCTATGGTTTGGTATTCCATTATCCTTATTAACCAAATCCCACATTGTCCATATGCTGCATGTTTTTACATCTCACTCTATAGGAAAATGATAATGATGATAATATGGTGGGAGTGAAGCACTAGCAACAACTTGCCAAGATATCGATCTTCTTTGAAAGCCCAAAGCCTGTTGGCAAAAATCCAATTTTAAAACCTTTTTATCTAAAGAGAAATATCCATCATACAAGAATTGAATTGGTAAAACTATAAAATAACTAGGTTTAAAGGTCAATTGAAGAGTTAGTGTCGACTGTTATTAAGAATCGGTTTAGTTTGGGTCTTGGAAATACTAAATGTCTAAGTTTGCTTACAGTCTCCTACTATTTCTTGAGTTTCTAGTATCTATTACAAGTCTGGGTATTTCTTGGAGTCTATGGGAGTTCTCTTTGAAGACTACAATTCTAAAGCAAATCAGATTTTGGATAAATGAAGTGAAGTGTTGTTGAAAGGCTTGGTGCCTTGATATCTCCGTCTGCACTTTCCCTTTTATTTCTATATCTCTCTAATTTGTCTAAGATTACAGCAGGCCTAAATTTTTTTTTCCCTGAACTTTTTTGACGACTGAAATAAAGCCTACCACAGTCCTGGGCAAAAGATCACCTTGTGTAGTCATACATCAAAAGATCACTTTGTGTTGTCATACATCGTGGTGGTGCTGGTGATAAAAAAGATTAGTTATAATTTTCAGCCCTTTCAAGTTGTGTTTCTTTGGTATGATATGAACTTATTCTGGGGTGGATTTGGAAGGTGAACAGTAGTAAATATCTTGATATGTACGTAATGCTGAACATATGTTTCAATTGGTTAGGGCTATCCTCCTTTTCTTGGAATGCCACATGCTAGAATGCCATTGCCTCTTGAGATGGCACAGGAGCCTGTGTATGTGAATGCAAAACAATACCAAGGGATTCTAAGGCGAAGACAGGCACGTGCAAAAGCAGAACTTGAAAGGAAGCTAATTAAAGTCAGGAAGGTAGAAATTTAACTTGCAGACACAAAGCCTTTAATGCTATAATATACATGTTTTATTTCATATATGTGATGTGAATGTGATATGTGTATGAGTCATCGTGCTCACACGCCTATATTTCTACTTCTAATCCCATCTCTTCGGACTGTATGCATTGAGTCTGTTCTATTTGGCTAATAGGAAGTATTGACTTTGACATAATCACAATTTAATTGAAGACTTCTGATCTTGTGCAATGAGCTTTGAAAATTTTCAGCTTACACACTGTCACGTGCTTAAGAAGTTGGTTCCAATATTGTGATGTGCTCACTTGTGAGCATATCACGGAATCTTACAAAGTTGGTATACATATGAGTTTTTGGGTTTTGATATACCCTTCATATCAGGAACAACTTATTTGACTTGCGCACTTTCTAGTCTCTATTGCTTCCATGAACTTATTTGACTTTCTACTCTCTCTCTTACCAATCAAAGATTTGCATGCTCAAATTTTATCCCTTAGTGTTGATTATAATTGATTTTATAATCACGTAACAGGGATAAATATACATTTTAGTGCTGATTACAATTGAGTTTACTACGAAGTAGTTCAACGATTGTGTTATTGATATTTGGTAACATTTTAGTAACCGTGTTTGTCTGATCGGCTTCTTGTGAGATTACTGTTTACAGTAACCATAGGATGTTTGTTGTAAGAGGCAGAGGATAAACAGTTGTAGATTTGGTTTTTTGGGGGAGATGAGTAGTATATAATATATATGTGTGGGTGTGATGATACTTCGGTTAACGAATTCCAACTCAAATTGTTAGTGTTGGTATTTATATTAAACATGAATGTATCTATAAGCCTAGCTGACTTTGGTAACTTATTAATTCTCATTTTCTACAGCCATATCTTCATGAATCACGACATCAACATGCTATGAGAAGGGCGAGAGGTACTGGAGGACGTTTTGCAAAGAAAACTAATGGTGATAAATCAAACAGCACTGGCCAAGAAAAGGGCACAGGCTCTGGTCCAGCCCACTCGTCACAATCTGGCAGTTCATCAGGTTCAGAACCCTTTCCCTCAGATTCTGCTGAAACATGGAATTCCTCCAATAGTCAGCAAGAAGGAAGAGGATCCCAAGTGCATGACCCGTACTCAGCTCACAATTATGCAAATGGCAGTGGCTGCTTCCAGACTCATGGTGGCTTGCAGGCTTCGATGTATCCTTCATACTCGGGCAAGAGAGGGGAAGAAGGAGATTGTACAGGCCAGCAACGGGGAAGCATCTCTTCGAATCAGGCCTCACAGAGGCGTCTTGCCATCCAGTGACTGGGAGGTGGATGCCAAGGTGGAGGATTGGACCCTTATAACAGAAAAAGGGTCGGTCCCCTGGTTATATCTTTGGCAATGTGTTTGCCAGGCGGCAATTCATTCTTGGCTTTGTTCTTGTGCTTGTGGCATAGATGAATGGCAGGAGAGTGATATGAATGGGCCATTTGGATTCTGTGAAGTCCTTTGATGCCTGAGTTCATTACATCCTTCCTATTTTTGCCTGATGTACAGAGTAGTTTTCAGTAATTTGAAGTACATATGGAAAACTGAAATTTAAACGAATAGTACTCTAGTTTAATGTATAAACCATCGTGTGTATTATGTTTGTCACCTTGAATTTGAGCTGTGTGGTTGGCGACATATTGTGGTTTCTTTTGTTTTCATATGTGGATTATTCTCCTGCATGCTTGAGGCATGTGCAGACTTCAACGAAGTTCAAATGTCATCAGATCCGATTTTAGATTAGTATTAAAATCGAATCATGATTGGCTACCCTGTTATAATGGTAGGCTAAATTGCATATAATTGTCCTAACCAGAGGTGCATCAACCAGCTGGTGTACTCGGAATATAAGAAATTGGAACATATAAAAAACAAGACCTATTTCTTAGAATCATTTTTATAATTGGCCTAACCGGAGAACTGTTTCTTAGAATCATTTTTATAATTGGAGACTTTTCAACCAACACAGATTATTTTGAATTTATTATAAGAAAAATGTAAGAAAAGTTTTGGAAATAGAAAAATAATACTTTCTTAGTTTTCTATCTCCATAGTACCAGTATACACGATGCTTTGCAATCTGCAAACCCAAAACAATCCCCACTTAAGGAGTCAATTACTAAACTTTATAAATTTTTCTCACACAGATTCTTAATGGACCTTTATAAATCCGACAAAAAGAGCACAATTTTGTAACTAACTGCTTTATTGTCGGATACATTGTTTTACACTCGAATTTAAAGACAAGGGGTAAAGAGAATGCGATGTGTTCTTTAGGTATTGCATAATTTATAATCATATATCATGTTTTTGTTCACCGCTATTGTCTAGGTTTTCCTCACTATTGTCTAGGTTTTCATCACTGTTCTCTAGATTTTCACTAACTTCTGCCTCATGCTGCTCTGTGACAGTTTCTGCACCCATGCCATCAGGTGGTGTCACACCTTCCTCAGTTGCATTGCTTGCCTCTGTCGCATTAACTACTGGTTGCAGATTCTCCATCATCCCAGAAAGCGCCAATCTTGGAGACCATTCAAGAACATCATCAATTATGTTTGATACACGTTTCTGATACCTGCAAGAATATAGAGTTTATTATTAGTACGTTTGGCAAGGCCAAAAAGCAAAGAACTGGTTTGGCAAGTAATCAGGCAAAGCAGTGTGTTGCACTCATAGAGCAAAAGATCCGGATTAGGGATCCCAACAAATGATCACAAATAAAGGGAAAAGGTATTCAAATTATTCTAGATCTGAAATTTTCGAAATATCATCATGCTTAGCCAGCCACAATTTGTCCCCCCAAGCAATAACGTGACTTTAACCTCGTAGTATAGCATGCCAAAAGATCAGCCTCAGGCCGTCAAATGCCATTATGGTATATATTTAGTAGAAGTAGAACTCACCTGGCTCTAGCAGCTTCATCAGGAGCATGATGCCTCAGTAGCAATATGACCAGCACTCCAACTGCCGCATAGAAAACTCGTGTTGTCCACTTTGGTCGCTCCTCCTCATCTTTCTTGGGCCAGAAACGGAACAATTCTCTCAAAGTAGCTTCCTCGGCGAGAATGTTCGGGAAAAACCAAACTCGCTTCCCCAAAATAATGTATAGAGCTCCAAATATTGCACCCCTCACTGGAAATTAAGAAAATGAAACCAAAAAAAAAAAAAATAATGTTTATGTTGAATATGACAGGGAACAGAGCATTACAAGAATAATTATTTGCACAAACAAATAAAGGAACTACAAGATCACAGAAAAAGCCAACTGAAGCTGGAAGTCAACTCAAAAATCTTTAAAAAAATTCTTGAGGTTTCTAAATGCACATATAATGAATACTCGAAAGATGATAATCAATACAAAGATCTGCAAGTCTGCAAGACAGAAATTTTGAAGTCTTTTAGGCCAAGATGATGGCAAATCCAGATAATAAAAACAACTGTAACTGTAAGCAGTAGTTATGGGACTCTTATAATATGTGTGCAACCATACTTGAACAAAGAATAAGATTTGAACCTAGGATCTATGGCATCCCCACCCTATCCCAATTCCATTTAAATTAGAACTCACCAGAGTCTTAAAGGTATATTGACATTGAATTTGGACACTAACGTCAAATAAAAGAAATTGTTAGCTTATAAAGGTTCAAGTCTGTAGAGACTGTAGAGAGGCAAAAGGCTGCAAATTATTTACTAATACTTTGCAATCGAGAAATGGAAAAAACATTGGTAGCCAAGGATTCCTAAAAACAATACAAGCTAACTAGCAACTGTGCATTTTGCTGAAAACCTGCAATAAAAGTTTCTGCCAATCATTGAAAAGTAGCACTGACTTTCTTTCACAGAGGAGGGTTAAAAAAAATGAAAAAAAGAAGATAGTCCCTCGTACAATAATTTGATCCTCATAAATAGGCAAGAAACATTTCAAAAAAGGTGAAAGGGACAACAAACAGCGTAATCCATAATGCAGAGGTGGTGGTGTGTCCTACTTAGTTACAACCCTGATCTTAAGAAACTCTGCTGGACTTGGGCTAGTACCTGGGCCTTAAAAAATAACTAGCTATATTTCTACCAATGCTATCAAAGTAAGAGTACTTTCCATGTTCCCCATTTATACTGCAGACTTAGGATAATCTACTAGATTCAGAATTTAATGAAAAGGAAAATTCCAGAAATTCATGCCTACCTTGAATTAAAGGCGACACTCTTTAAATGATGGTGTAGTCATTTTCTCACAAGAATAAGGAACTGAATGCATTGACAAAATAGTACTAAGCAACAAAGTACTAAACGTAACTGCATCTACGTATCCTATTAAACCTATAGGAATAGTTGTACAAGCATGTCACTAACTCTAATACAGCCTGACTTTTCTAAATAAGTTAAACAACCTCTAACCAATATAAATGCCAATTTGGATGTCCAAAAAATGACTAGTGAGCAGAATTTTTCCTATAACAAAGGAGCAAGTGCGATAAAATAGTGCAGCTTTTTAAATAGGGGTGAAAGGTATAAACCTAATTGTTTTTTTTTTTTTTACTAGTATCCACATCATCTTTAAATAATAAGATTTTAAATGAAAAAATTTCACGGTTCACAATGAAGACATAAGCCCAGAAGTTCAGAACTTACAAACAAGTAGAGAAAGAAACAGTAGCAGGACCCCGAGACATGAGTAGAGTATTAATAGCTTGCACCGATGGGGATATACAGGAAACAAGCAAATTGCCAATGTCACCACTGGCCAGAAAAATGAGAGAAGCGTCTGCCAGAGAGGCCGCCGTTTAACAAAAGTCCATGCAAAGAAGGCGTCATTCTCAGAAAATACTTGGTCCTGCAAAAGACGTCAAGGAATTACTAAATTTGGTGTGTGGTGCTTAAAAGCATACATGAAGAGAAGGCATAGCACACAGAAAGAGAGGGTTAAAATATTAATAAACTTACTCAAAGGATAAGTTTCATACATTTTGGTTGGCACCATTAAGTTATTTCACCTTCATAGTTTCAAAGTTTTACAAAGAAGCACAAAAACAATTCTGGTTCACACATGCATACAAAGTGAAAAAGATAATCTCATTTCAAGAAATTATGAATATAGCATAAACAGTATAAAACAAAAACATAGATATCTAAGGTGAAAGTAAAAAGGACACAACATTATCACCACATGAATACAAGTATAAAGTAAATGTACATAGTCTAAGCATGGTCATGAAGACCATGAGCACATGGACAAAGCAGATATACTGAAACAGAAAAACCCCATTTATTCATCTTAACCGGTCCCGAACAAACAAAAAGAAAGCCTTGTCCAATCTAAAGTATACTATACAAACTGTTTTCACCAAATATAAGCCTTGTCCAGTGTCCAATCTAAGCCTTGTCCAGTGTCATGATTGTAGAATATATGGAACACCAAATACAAAAGGAGTCCATCACAAACATGAAAAGGAGAAACTAGTAGGCAGAGCCTGGTAATTGCAAGGGCAGCAAGTTACTAGTTCAAAAGCAATTAAGAGGTTAACTTACTGGAAAGATCTCCAAATGTGCAGGCCATGTAGACAACTTTTTCTTTCCAGGGCGAAGGGTTTTCACCACACGATCACAGCGAACTAGAAGATTCTTTCCCAGTAAAACATCAGCAATATCTTCAGCTTCTAGATTTCTATCTGATTCTAGAATATCTTTGAGTTCAGGATGATTCCTCAAAAATCTTACAAAATCCTTCCCCCTGAAATATTCCACTCGTGTCTCCTGTAGAACAGCCCACCTAGACACCAAATCCTTATGGTCTCTCACCTTCTCTGCAAACAACTGGAACACATCCTTCTGGATAGCTTGTTTCTGAAAGAAAGTCAAATGGCAATCAGAAAAACAAGGAAAATACAAGCAGGCTATAAGAACGCAAACCAATTGGCCAAAACATATCTTCCTTGAAAGAAAAAAATCCAAAACATTATTGGACAAAAACAAGCATGAAGCCAAAAATATATATTCAAAAGAATTAAAATTCGTTGCCAGTATCACCATGTAGGACACCATCTAAGTCTGCAATGCAAAATATCTCCAAATTTCATTATGTGAGCTATGTACGAATTTTTTTTTGAATTAGTCTCAGGCTCTTTCACCCTAGAAACTCAATTTTGCAAGATACCTAGAAGACTAGATGTTTTGCTATTGCAATCTAAGTCCAATATTTTGCATGTTCGGCCAAAAGAACATAATAGAAACACAAAGTTATCATGTTGAAGGAATTCAATTCTATCGTAGCTTAGAGTAAATTACAGTATCTGACAGATAAATAAGAAATCCTCCGCTTACAATTCCCTCCAATGATATGGCTCAAAGTCCTACATTCAAAAAGTTCCACTTTGGGTAGAAAATACAAACATACTAGACTCAGATATTAATTACAAAGGAATGTCCTCTGGGAATTGTTTTAACTTAATGTAAAGATGTACAGAGTGATCAAAGGAAAGCACGTGGTCAGAGTTTCTCTTTTAGAGCTTTCCTGGAATTAGAGCCCATCTATGATTTCTTTTCTTTTTTTGGTTCTAATCTATGATTACTCTCCATTGCTCACACAACACTAGGTAAAATAATTCTAACAATTGTTCATGCAAGAAACAAGAAGTGATCATTGACCATCTTGTGATCCATCTTG